TTTGTTTACATTTTGCTACTTTGATGACAAATAATTTTACTTTTAGCACTACTATCTTCAAACAAGCAACTAACATGTTCCTTTACACAGTTAAAAAACTATAACAGTTATTATCTTTTTTCAATTTTAAACTTTTACAGTGCTTCTTTATTTCTATATGAATTCAATCCTAGAGAAATCCTGTTGTTTTTTATGGGATTTATAGGTCAAAGTTCATGGTAACTGTGACACAGAGATTGAAAACTATTTCCCCTACAAAAACTAGTTTTATTTTATGCTTAATAATCTCTTATTAACTAGGCTACAGTTGTTTTTGTATTTGGAATAAGAGAATGAAGGTAAATGTGCCACTGTTGTCACACAGGTGTCAGCTGTCAGACGGACAGCTCCTTCCAGCACTATAGTGTATTGTAATAACTGTAGTTAATGGTTTACAAAAATTTGTTATATCATCCAACTATACAGGCAGACTTCTATTTTATCAACAAACTTGTGTCTGCTTGTTCAGGTAAGAATTTTTATATATTTTCATTTTTTAATGTTGTAGTATTAAAAACTGTGTACTTATTTTATCTATCAGTCTTCTGTTAAATTTATGTACTAACTGAAAATAACAGAAAATAACTTTCTAAAATTATTGACTTATATAAATGTAAATTATGTTGTATTTACATTCAGTTTCATTTGTTAATATACAGTAGTTGTTACTAGGCTTGTTAAATTCATTTTCAATATGTATTCATAGTTTAATACTTTAATAGCTTGAAATCATACAATATATTCCCCGGTATTTATATTGTCTTGAATAACTTATGCTACTCTTGTTTAATGATTTTATCATAAAATGATCAAAATAAAAGACTTCTATTTTATCAACAAACTAGAGGTGAAACCCAGCCAAATACAAAGCTAATACAACACAAAGATCCTCTGTGAAACAGACAACACAAATAGAAATAAAATAAGTTGTAACAATAATAAAATTAAAGGTTCCCCCCTTTAAGAAGTTTTATCTTGCCGCAAAAGAAAATCATTCATCATAAATATACAACATTTGAGGGGAAAAAAATTTCTTTTATAAATAAAACTCAGTTCTGTTGACAATGTTAACAATTTACCTGTTGCAAAGAAAATTGATTGTCCTTTGTCATCAGTATAGATTCAGGTCTGTCACTGTATTTATCTGAGAAGTCTGACCTAAGGCTGTATACTGTGGTAATAGTTCAACTATAATATTTTCATTATAAAATCACTTAAATTTTTATTTGACTGTTTCAGATGAAATACATGTAGTTGTAATCTGGAATATGACATTCATCAACCTTATCACCTAATCATTAGGGATGTTATAAATGTCAGATTTTATAAATGAGGAATTTTATAAATGAGGGACTTTATTAATGATTTATTCAGTAATATTGTGTGTTGATCCGTGGAATTTTATAACTGTTATAAACTGTAACATGAGACTCTCATTATATCTTTTCTCCTATAATATCATACAACATCATGACGGTTACACGCATGATGTAAAAAATATTAAAATTTTCCATAAATAAGTAATTTTAATACAGTTATGAAATTTTCATTCCTCTGGGTATATAATTTTAATTTCATCATATTAAGCGGACACAAACAAACATACTTTCAAAGTCAATTAGTTTAATAAATGTTATTCCACTGAGAGTTAAACTTAACTCATAAAGGTAACATAATTATATTTACCAATTGTCCCCACTAGTCAGTCACGGTGCTAGCAATCTAATGGGAACTTGCAGTATCTTGTAAAATACTTTGTAATGGTACACAATTTCAATTTGGACACTTACCCCATAGACACTAACATATTTAATATTCACATACTCACAAGTAAAATGTTCTTTATTAAATTGTCATTTTGTGTAAAAAAAAACCCACAGAAAATGGGCTTAAAAACAGTGGACATGTATTTCTAGTTAATTATTAAATCATTTTTAAATGTGAACATCTATTGCTTGGGAACAAAGAATGTTTGTGCATCATTGAACCTGTCACTGATTATTGACTAAGTCAAAACGCATGTAGTACATTATATAATGTATTACTGGAATTGTTTTATGAAAACATTCAGCAGTTAAAATGCTTTATATCTTCAGATCTATATATGTCACAAGTGTATGATAAATTAATCTGAATGTCAGTTTGTATTCTAGTTACAGTTTCAGCATCTGAGTTTATTTTAAAACTAACTGCCAGAAAAAATATCAATACAGCCACTTGATTGGTTTACTAGCACTAAGGTGACTTGCACTAAAAAATGTCTCTCCTGAGAATTGCTTGGTTCACTTCTCACATACTCGCATAAGATATTGATCTCATTAAAACACTTTTGTGTCAGTTTCAATCATTTATGACTTGTTTCATGTCTAAACAGACATACCCTGCTTTGAATTTGAAACTGTCAATAATTAATGAAAGGTATTTTAACATAAAAATTCTACAAAGAAGCACTATAGTCTATGATTGGTCCAGACATGCACTGAGATCATTATAGCTGCAGGCAATTAGAGGGTTCACAGTTCAGGTTAAACACCTCCTCTTACATTTTCCAGCAATCTTTAAAGGGACTCCACTGAGGTTTTTTGAACTGACAGAACTGGAAATATTTTTTTCAGGATTTGTTTTATCATTTAATAACTTTTGTGCAAATTTTCAGATCATTCCCTCTCCCAATTTTTCTAGAATCATCATTTTTATTGCTCAAAATAACACAATAAAACAAAAATCATTGTCACTCAAATAGAGCTAAGAATCACACAAAAATCGATTTTCAATTCAATTCTGATCATATTTCTTTATTATCTTTTGCAGATTTTGCTTCACTTGATCCATGTAATAATTTCAAAAGTCTTTAGGCTTTTTGACCTCAATGGAGCTCCTTTAAGTAGACAAAAGTTACCTGCCCATCTTGTTTGTTCAAGAAGGCATATCACTAGCCCAGATATTTATCTGTGGTGTTTGTATGTTGTAAAATAAATAATGTATAAACTACAATGACTCATCATAATTGAATGTGATAGGATGTGAACAATACATTCTTAAAGACAGATATATTTCCTGGATATGATATTGAATTTATTAACCTCTGAAAGGCCTTGACCTTGGAGGTAAAACTTGCCTCTTGCATTATGCACATTTTAAAAATTTAATGCATTATGTCATGGTGGTGATTTTTTGATCTTAGTTAATCTTAAATCTTCAAAAAAAATTAAAAAAAATAAATTAATGAACTAGATATTGTATCTCTGTGTGACATTTGGAATGCCGGTACTAACCTGGATGTTGTGCCCTGTTATGTCATAAAAGTCATCATTCAAGCAAAGTACTTTCAAACCTTATCAATATACAGTACCTTATGGAATGGACGTGAAATGTGAACTCTTTTTTTATATATATTTTTATATATTACCTCAAGTGGAACCTTGAACATAGGGCAGTTACCAAGCACATTTATTCATGATGGTGATCATTTGTACCAAGTTACTTTTAAATTTTTTGCAGCAGTTTATGGAGAGTAAATATAATATAGTTTCAAAATGTAAAGTTTAAGATGACTTTTGAAATGTAAATTATATATCTTATATCTGAATCAGTGACTTTTGTAAATAACATTATGCCTTATTGAACATTTATATCATTATCTCCTAAATGAATGACCATAATATAGAACCTCTAATTATCTTACGTCGGTATTAAAATAATTTTCAAACAAAGAAACTTCCTGGCTGCAGTATTTCACATAATATTTTCAATGAAAACTGAAAATTATTAATTGAATAACCAAAAATACAATGGTTACTAATTAACTTTGTTAAAAAGGAAACAATACAATTCTCATTAAAAAATATATATACATGTATATTTTAAAGAACTGAACAAAGATTTCAGTACCAAATTAACTACTTTTTATAAGGAGTGGTCTTTACAAAATACATGTACAGTGTGGTACAGGACTCTCTTTTCTTTGGCTGCAAGCACTAACAGAAATATGATTTTCAGAACAGAAAGGTCATTAATCCCTAATCACTGTTAAAAATTGTAAATATCCTAGATATCAATGAGGCAACATCGTACACAGTCATGAAAACCTTATTCTAATAGAATTCCCAGGATATATTCAGATTAAAGGGAGATAAACAAATCATTAGATATTAACAAGTTCATAATTAACTATCTGACTTGAGCATACTTCTTGATTTAAAATGTAATAGTGTTTATTTAACCTAAAGCATGAAATTAAAAAATTTTAAATCAGAATTTCTTTTTTCATGTTTTTAAAGCATATAAAAAGCTGTATTAAATGAAAAATTTGTATAAAATATATAAACATTAAAAATATGGTGTTTCCTTCATCTTACGGTCTATTTTCATAAAAGTTATAACAAAGTTTATTATACCTCAATATATCCTTCAATGTAAAATCCCATAGGCCTATTATGTGTTCTGATTGAATATCACCCTCCTAGGATATATTCACCGGGAAATATTTCTTATATCACCCTGGGGCACATAACTCATGCATAACACTTTCTCATACTTTTTCGGTATAATAAGATAAATAACATGTGGCTGTCAAGGTGATAGAGGATATTGCCAACCCTTGAACTGGCATGTTTTCCCTCGGCTGTGCCTCACGGTGATATACCAGTTCTTGGGTTGACAATATCCTCTATTACCTCGACAGCAACATGTTATTTATATAATATCTCTGTAATCTAATATGCATATTTTATGAAAGCAGAATAAAAGCTTAATGGTACAAAATATTATGCATTTTAAAGGTGGATTTTAACCAATTAGCAATGATTTTGTGAGAGCACAATTAACTGTATAAGAAACATACAAAGATATTTCTTTCATACTGGTATTTTGTCATTATTCTTTCCCAAATTCAAACAATTACTTTGTAAACTACAGGCGGCAGATATATAGCTTTATACACTGTTATTTCAATAGATTACCTGGATTTTGAAGAAACATCTCGGCTTTTCAGTACTGCAGAATCTAAATCATCATCTTCTAATAATTTCTGTGATTCTAATATATCCCTTGCCATCTGTTGAACATTCTTTATTCCAAGTTTCTTCTTGCCTGATTTAGATTCTATTTTAGGTTTTTTAGGTGCTCTCTTCTTCTTAGGTTTTGAAGCTTTACTACTTGATGCCATGGCTTAAATTAAACACGGATATAATGTAACTAATTTGTATTATTAGAACAACAATAAAAAACATTTTCTAATTAGGGCTACATGTAATTAATCCAAATCTAGCATTCATAGAAATAATATTTTTAGGGATTAAATACAATTATATAAAAAAATTATAATAATATATATAATATATATATTATAATTTATAAGGATAAAACACAATTAATAAAATTACATGAAATTTTACAATATACAATGTACTAATATTAACAATCACAAAAGAAACTGTGACCATGTTACTTAAAATATTTGCTAGAATTGTTAAAAAGTAACTAACCTGCTTCCATTTGTACATGTTCTGGAATATCTTCCTCATATCCTTCTTTCTCCGGAACATCTTCAAAATCATCCTCATCTTCAAACAATCACAAAACATTCATAATAGTACACCCTTATGCCATAGATCACCCAGTTTACTTGCCTATTTAGAGACTGGTCTATTTCAATACACCATGCTTTATATACCAAAATGTGCATATCCAACTGCGGAATAAATTTTTTTTCCAAACAAAAATGTGGTCCAAGATGACATTCCATATTGATGACAAAGTTTTAACTACATTTGCTTCTTATAAAATATTCAGACATATTTTATGTTAGTATATCTATCACAAGTTCATGCAAATTCTTTCTGCTGTCTGATCATAGTCTACACTGTTCTTAGCCCAACAAATTGTGCGCTTTAGGGCTTTTTTATATAGACCATGTGGCCCTTCGTAAAGACAGACATCTATGAAATATCAGATTATAAAATCGGTCGGTCTTGTCGTCGAAATATTGAGACTACACTGTTCTGTATTCACTTAGTTGTGTTTAATAATTTTCCCTAAAAATGATGAATGGTTCAGTCAAGACTGAAAGACAGACAAATCCATTTAAGACAATTAGTGAAGTAAGGGTTAACGAGTTATGATTATATTACCTGAGTCACTATCAGCATCCCTGTTTCGTTTAGATCTTGCTATTTCAAGTTCTACACATTTCTTCACAGAATCTTCCAGTTTTGATTTCACTTCCATTAACTGTTTCACCTTCTCCTCTTTTCCAGAATTCTCTGTCATAACCTAAATTTTTAAAAGGTATGAATAGCAAGAAAACATGCAAATTATGTATTAATTAAAAGAAATGGTAGTCTAAAATTATGGTTAAGAAAAAGTAGACTTAAATTCTAAGATTAAATACTGAGCTTTACAATTTACAAGAAAACACAGAAGATCCTGTTTTGTAACTTGAAAAAAAATTAAACCTATCTTCATGTAGTTAATGGGAATATTTCACTCCATGGCCATTTTTTACAACAAAATACTGATGTGTATTGGTTTCAAGAAAATCCTATAAACTTGTATCAAAACACTACAAACTATTGAAAAATATGCATTTTCTTTCAAACATTCCATTTAAATTTTCATGTTAATCAGATTACCTGAATCCATCTTTTTACAGCAGGTAAGTATTTAGTTTTGATGAGTGTATATTGATCCCTCACACCTTGAATCAGGTCCCTGTTATCTTCTGTCTCCTTTAGACTCCGCCCACTCTCACCCAACTCTACAGTCAGGGCAAATTTTCTGTCAAAAAGACCATGCTCCTGTGTAAATGCACTATTTACATCAGTATCAACCTCTTCAAAATCATCATTATCATCTTCACTATCATTGTTTTCCTGAGAGATATCAGTCCCTGAAATATTGTGCGTGTTATTTTTCACATTTTCAATGCCCATGTCTTTATCTGTGAGGTGTATGCTGACAGAAATATCATCATTGTTTGTGATCGTTTCCTCTGATGATGTTACAGTTGATGTCACTGATGAGGTAGAATGGGATAACATACTGGTTCCCCCTGTGTCTTTCAGAGGTATGAAGAAATCATCTGGACCTGGCATAAGGAGCTGGAGACCATTTTCCACTTCAGTCAGACACAGCTGTATCTCAAGCTCTGATTCTGAAAAAGTGACATCATGGAATGACATCATGGTGTGACATTATGGTGTGACACTATGGTGTGACATCATGGTATGTCATTATGGTGTGACAAAACCTGTCTTACTGAGTACAATATAGTTCTTGTGTAAAGAAAATAACATTTAGAATTGTTACCGTCAATTAGTAGGGAAAGAGCAAAGATAAGAAATCCCCATTTTCTGATATTAGTGACATTGAATTACCAGTGTTTTTCCAAATTTTTTTCCAAGGTATTTGCGGGGATATTAGCTTTCAAGGATGTCAGATTTATGTAAATTATTCAACTCTTGAATGAACCACATTTTTTATTATTTTCATGGTAAATCCTTGCATTTCTATTACTTGTCAATTTTGCGTATCAAAACAGAAAACACAAGTGGATCATTGAAGGTATTGTTCTTATAAATAAATTACCATCTTTATTTTCCTAACAGTTTTACAGAAATGGAAGACAGAAGGAAAATGGTAATACATTTTAAAACTCCTTACAAATCTTCTGAGTAACTGAGTGCTTGGTAGGAGGAATGAACAAGTATTAAAGAGTAGTCCAGTATTGATATTGGTTCTTATTGCAATCACTTATAAAAAAAGAAAAGTAAACACACCTGCATACTCTGTACTAACTTTGTCCACCTTTTCTTTTCTACATTCTTCTAGTTTTCTCTCTGTTTCTTCTTTCTGTCTTCTCTCTAAGTCAAGTGTTGCCTGGATACCATCAAAGTCAATCTGTTTATCAAACAATACACAATGTATCATCAGTCATTTACATATACACACAATATACATCACAACTGCAGTATAATTTTCTCCCAAAGTCACACAGCAATAAACTATGCCTTAGAAAAGCAACACCTCATAGCAGTTACCATAATTATTGTCTCCAGTGAGTGCTCCTTACAGAGGATGTAAATCATTTCAAATCCAGATAAAAGGTGTACCCATCTGGTTGGCCATTACCTGTCTTGTAGTGAACGTGTAAAATTATGATTCACTTGGACTTCAAACAAACAAGTCAACTTTAGAACATACCTTTTTAATGGACTTGAGAAATTCAAAACCAAGCATGAGCTTTCTGTAAGCATGTCCAAATTTTTCTACCCACAGTAGTATACTTCTGTTAACACTGTTCTTCATATTCTCAGCTACAGCTTTTGGTGCAGGCAGAGGTTTCTTCTTCTCTGTACCTTCAATAAAACATGCAACACTTTACTACAGGTGAGACTTAGTTCTCTGTGTATTGTCTCTGGCATGGGCAGGTTACTGAATGTAGTTTTAAGAATTGAACATGAAATGTTTATAAATATTTACAAACAATTTCATTGCAGAGTCAAGAAATGACAACTGTTGGATATATTAAAACATTTCACTGAACTTCTATTCCCTTGAACTTCCTTAAAGCCATATATCAGTAACCCATTACTTACATACAAATTTATCAAAACATGAAATCAAGATAAGAAATGGAGTGGAAAACAACACATCCAAACATTGATAATGTTACTTATCATTGTTATTTTATCTAAACTACCTTGTTTTTTGGTATTTAAAATACCTTTATCAGGTTTCTCACACAAAATCAACAAGAGCTGTCTGTAAGACATCAGGCTCGACTATTCTCAGTGCTTGACAGTAATAAAAGGGGCATAACTACGTCAAAAGGCAAATCAGAGTAATCAGACCTGTGCCCATCATATTGATAATCACAAAGGATAAGTGTTTAAAATTTCAACCCATTCTCTTGAAACCTTTCAGTTGTTTTGGAGATACCAACTTGCACATAAAAACATAACCAAAGTATGATGGTGATGCCAATGCTGAAACCAATGCTACAAAAATCTCCCTAGTCTTTGATTAGTCATGTTAAAAACATGTATTATGTTAAAAAACACTTTTCATTGTGTCAATTATGGTTAAAAGCCTTCTTAAGTCATAATGAAATAGTCATAAAGATATTGTAAAGAAGGCAATTAACCAATCAATTATAATGATAACAAGCAATTATCATAGTATTGCAAGCAATCCATAAGTCCCCTACCGGTAAGAACCCCATCAACATTCTGAAGGGCCATTGGCCATTCACTTATGTTTCAATTTTTCTCTATTTTAAGTAAACTTGTTGGAAAAGTTCTTTAAAAGTGATCACAGGAAACAGTTTTTATGAACAGACAGACAGACGGACTGAAGGACACTCTAAAGTTAATATTTGAAACATCCCTGTTACCAAAATATAACATTTTAAAAGCAGGAGGAGATAACTCTTGAATTAAAGATGCAATTTCATAAAAATTTTCAGCTCTTTTTGACTAATCACAAATATTGTTATATTTGCCATGTTTTAAGCCTATTTGTTGCCAAGGCAACTGATATTTTTTCAAAATAGGAAGAACAGATAAGACATGCATAATCTCAACACTGCTATCTACCCATATGTCAAGTTTCATAAAAATATTTCCAGTACTTTTTGAGATATCACTGGATTCAGTTTATGTGTAAAATTTGCCATATTTTCAGTCTATGTGTTGCCATAGCAACCAGAATTTTCAACATAGGAAGAAAAGAAAAAGACGTGCATAATCTCAACACTGCCATCTACCCATATGTCAAGTTTCATAAAAATATTTCCAGGACTTTTTGCTTTATCACTGGATCCAGTTTATGTGTAAAATTTGCCATATTTTCAGCCTATTTGTTGCCATAGCAACCAGAATTTTCAACATAGGAAGAAAAGAAAAAGACGTGCATAATTCCAAGACTGCCATCTACCCATATGTCAAGTTTCATAAAAAAATTTCCAGTACTTTTTGCGTTATCACTGGATCCAGTTAATGTGTAAAATTTGCCATATTTTTAGCCTATTTGTTGCCATAGCAACCAGAATTTTCAACATAGGAAGAAAAGAAAAAGATGTGCATAATCTCCATACTGCCATCTATCCATATACCAAGTTTCATAAAAATATTTTCAGTACTTTTCAAGTTATCGCGGGATCCAGTTTTGTGGACGGACGGACTGACGGACTGACAGACAGACCGACGGACGGACGGACAGACGGACGGACAGACGGACGGAGGGTAAACCTAAAGTCCCCTCCGGTAAACCGGTAGGGGACTAATTACCAGCTGCAAGTTCCAAGAATGTATCAAAATCAGCGAGAAGTAACTCCCGGAACATGTGTGATCTAGTAAATAGCTCATCTATCATCTGGTATGCTGAGAACCGAACTTCTGCATGCTTTACTGATAACTGTTTCATCAGAAGTTCAAACGCATGGTGAACATAGCTGTCTGAAATTCTTAATTTAGAATACTATATATTAAATATTGATCATTAAGCAGATAATAGCAAGAAGTAAATCATAGGACATTACTTAGACCCCAATCACCAACATGTCCTTGGCAGAAAAATCTGAATGTAGTAGTATCAGATACTAGTAAATTGTTATTATTAAAGCTACTGATCTGTATTAACTCTTATCCTGATGCAATCAGAAGTGACCTGTCTTTGTCACCAGTATACACAATGTAGAGCCTAGCTATCCCGCAAATCTGTTCCCACTCTATACTGCTAGTAATTCAATCTTTGTATCTTCTAATCTTTGTATTTTAACATTGAAATCTGTTAACTCAGGCACTGGCAGATCCTAATGGGCTAGTATATTTTGACAGGTCTCGCATAAAAGACTGTAATCATTATAATTATGATAAAATTGTCAGTGTAAGTGTCAAACTACCTGTGTTTATAAATTACTTTACATCTGTATTTAAAATTTGTATGTCATTTACCTGCAAAATTTTTTGAATTTCTTCATAATTTCTGGATTTAATGTAGGTTTTCCTGACGTTGTCAACAGCTCTACAAGACTTTCCATCTGCTTACAAATCTTCTCATCAAGTTCTGACATTATGAAGCCTTAAAGATATACAATGTATACAAATAAACATCATAATATATATTAGTCATTGCGTAAATGAAAATGCAGACATTGTTATCATGTTCTTAAAAATTTAAAAGGTTGGATATATACAGTATATGAATAATGTATTTGTGTAACATATAAAACATAAACATCCTGAAGATAATTATTTTTAAGCTGCACCTATGTTGATGTCTTCAACTTGTAAAATGATTTTCCTGCTTATATAACAGACTCCGATAAAAGGCCTCTTCCCAATTGAAATTTTCTTTAAAATCATGCAGTTTTCCCAAAAATCTTAACTTAAAGTCTGCTTTTTTACTTCCCAAATTAGCAATTTTAGCGATATTTTCCCCCCAAAATCAAGTGGCTAAGGCCTCTTCCCAATGAAAGGAGAAAAATCACTGTCAAATGTATCTCTTCATTTATGTCAGATTCTGACAACCTAACAACATGTATTTTGAATAATCTTTTTAGATTTTGAAATTATATGCCATAGTTTCCCAGACATCTGGGATTGTCAAGAAAACATGTCAACCAGGCATATACATACATAAGTACTACTTTGAATTTGTACTTGTAGTCAAGCTGTACCTATGAGTTCTGAGTAATGAATTTGATGCAGTACTTGAGTAGTAGTACTGAAGTACTTGTGAGATTTAATTTATAATGGTCACAACAGTACAAGTAACAATTCTGAACTAGAAAACTGTGTGCACATCATGTACTATGATACATGTATTAATATTATGCTATAACATAAGTAATAAAATTATATATAATTATGGCATCACTATATACATTCAGAAAGAGTCTTTCAAATAGAATGGTCTTGATTGTGTTAGCAGAAAATGATAAAAATACTTGAAATTACCCAAAATTGACTTTTTTCATGTTAACCTTTTACCTCATACCGACATGTTTTGACGTTTTTTTGACACCCACCACCCCCCCACCTTTTGAATTTTTTTTGTGAAAAATGGCTGTTTTCATTAAACAGGCTCCTGTTACATGTTCAAATTGCTATGAAACTATAAAAAATGTTTCAATACTGATCAAACTTGGCACACATGTTGACTGGACCATTGCCTTTGTAACAGCAAGCTCAGTCTTAAATTTCCTGTTGCCATGGCAATGAGGGGGCATCTCAAAATTGCCAAGTCACTATTTAATGCCAGTGTTCAATCTAGAGCGCGACATTAACCCCCTGAAAAGTCTGCCCGCGCAAAACAAATTCAACTGTGGACCCGACGGGCGCTCTCACATAGAAAATGCCCTTGATGGCATTTAAATGCTTTCTTAAACCTGATAAAGTACATAATAGGTTTCTTGTGAATTATATTAAAAAATAATGAATTAAAAACTGAAGTTTGGATAGGAAAAACAAAAGAGCATGCGCAATCGGTAACCCTGTTAAAAACCTCAATCGCTAGGCTCTCTCTGTCTTCAAATTGCCACCAGGGTCTGTAAATATATGCAGAATTATTCCTCGTACAGTTACTATTACTTACTTCGGTCAGGGTTTTTATAAACATAACAAATCGCTTCAGTTAAATCAACATGTGCGTGTAAATTACTGTAATTATAGTTTTATAACGGTCAAAACAAATAAATATCCAGAAAAATCTATATAAGACACAGTGTGCGTTAATTATAGGGAAGTGTGCAATTTAAAATTACGAACACGCATTTGAAACCAATTAAAAAAAAAATGGAGCTAAAACAACAGAATTTGGGTTTCGGGTTTTTCTGCCAAATTTAGTAAAATTAATTTTTTTTTTTGGGCTTTTGGGGTGGTCAGCCCTAAAAAAGTGCATCTGAAAATTTAACAAAAAAGTAAAATTTTTAAGCGTGACATTTAGAACTGTGGGCCTTTAAAAGACCAAAAATTTCCGGGGAAAGGCAATTTTTAATTGTTCCCTTTGCACCTGTTGAACCAACCCTTTTTTCTGTGGGTATTTGAGAAGGGGAAAATTTTATTTTTTTTATAGTGACTAGTAAGTTTATTTCTTAATTTTTACTGCCCTTTTGTAAATTTAAATTTTTGGTTTTTATTAAAAAGACTAAATATTGTTTTAAATAAAAAAGGGAAAAATTTCTGGCCCAATTTGCAAAATACAATTTTCCTTTATATCAACCCACTGAATCAGATTAAAAAACTGAACATTATTATCAAATATCCCTCGCAACATTTAAATTAAGATTCATTTAGATAGTTATTTTCTTTGAACATTGTGTCTTTGTTTCTTTACCAATCAGTTCCTGAAAATGAGCTCTCATCATCGCTAACAGAACTCTCAAAAAAGACCTAGATAATATCCATATTTTCTAGTAGAGTTGATTTTTATTGACAATTTTTGTTGATATACAGTCTGTGTATCAGCTGTGGAACAAAAAGTTGAAAGGTATAATACCTTTTTTGAATTTTAAATTATGTTCATTTTAAGTGTGGTCCACCTTTTTCTCAAATGGCCCCCTTTTGAAAAGTTTATGGGTCCAAAGGGCCCTCTGGGAAGTCATTCTAGATTGAACACTGTTTTGCGTTGATTTTTTTCATCAAACTGATTTCAGTGTTTCCCCAAGATCGAGGTAGAATAAATTAAAACATATGTATTTCTCTGTAAACCTTACTGTATGTTTGTGTAACGCTTACCACCACTTTCTGTATGCTTGGTATTTTTGTATATTTGTAAAACGTATATCTAAATAGTTATATTAAGAGATCAATAGATAATGAATTATCATGTGGAAAGTCTGAGCGGGCCGCAGTCCCCACAAGGGCAGTAACGCTCTTAGACAACATGTATGACCATATAAATCAAATTTGAATCACATTAAAATCAAGAAAAAATATATATATAACGAGTAGGAGAAAAATCCTTAGTTAGATAGGATCCACTATTTTGAAATCCTTTAGAGCAAATTATAGATATCAAGGCGCTTTTGAGCATCTACATAATTCAGACTATTTCTTGAAGACTCATCTGACTCATGCCAAATAAACTTCCGGTGAAAGAATGATGTTCAAAATCAGAAAATAAACATACATTTCATTGATAAGAACTATTGTAACCATGATAAACATAAAAAGTACTTTTTCATATTCTTTTTTGATAAATCAACACATTAAAAAATGTAAAAACAACTGTGATTAGAGATTAACCAAAATGGCAGACAGTACACCAAAAGCCGACGCAGTGGTCCCCTTTAATTTGATACACAGAGCGTAGCCTATCAAATCACTGTGAGGCATTCCAAGATTTTCAGAAATATTCGGAGCACTCCAATGATAGGTTGAACACCACCAATTTATTTTTTTCTGTTTACGGTACACAATACATGCATTTACTTTATATCTACGAAGCGCAAAAAAGATCTGGTTTACATGTACTGCTTGAATCATAAATCATAAGACCTTTTAGCGCCATAGGTAGGACATAATTTCATATTAATAAAGGTTAAAATAGATAATAATTTGGTTTGGGGCTGAAAAAACCTGTTTGCTCAATAATAACTTTCAGCTAAATGGCTTAGTAGTGAGCTCGACGAGCTGGCCCGAAGGGCCTGCTCGTAAAGCGAGCTTTACGGTAACGCGAGTACCTGCTAAGTGATGGTTTTGAAAACTTTCGTCCAAAGTACCAAATTGGACACATCGCAACCTTTCGAATTTAAAGATAACGATAAAAACTGAGGAATTCTGACTGAAAACGGATGTGTAGACTGGTCACCCCGCGCACGTCTATGGGAACCATAATTGGACAGGGAACCAGAATAACGGAAGCTGTGTAAAAAATGAAAATCGAAGGCGCCATTTTGTTTGAAATCTGATAAAAAAAACAATTTTTTGTCGAATTTTGTTGTGAAAACTATCTAGAATGAAAGAAAATGGTCTAACTAAGAAAATGAATCCGAACACCAATATCTTTTATTCAGTCGTTAACGCTGTACAGACGTTTAAAGTATTGTTTACGTGACGTCACAATGTAGCGCCAAACAGCACGTGCAAAACAAACAAATCAAGTACGCTATTTTAATGTCGCAAACGTTTTAAGTTTACATTTATTTCACTTTAAATAATCTTTATTTCGCTTGAAAAATTATAGAGTGAAATAAAATAAACAAAGTTTTATCAACGTTTTCAAAACTCGTTATTCATTTCACGACAGGGGCGGAGCCATATTTAACACAGTATGTGTGACGTCACACGCACTTGTTACTGCATTTGAAATAAAAATGAGCGATTATTTCATACTATTTCACATCAAAAGTACATCGAGCTCGCTTTGAGGCTTTGCCTTTTTCATATTAAATTGTAAAAAACTGACTTAAACAGGTACAGAATAAATCTTGCAATTAATCATGCAAAGTTCAATCAATTTGAAGGCAAAACGTCTTGTGCATTAAATTACCTCAGGTGTGAAAATCTGCTGACTACAACAAGAGTTTGTGCTGTATCCGACAACTATGACACTTCAATAAAATCAAATATCAAAGGACCTATAAATTTATGGATCATTATAAATATCCTGGAAAGGACAAAATCTACTTCTCTTGTAACATTGTATGAATTTTAAGATAATTCATTCAGCATAATCATTAAAATTGCAAAAATCTGATTGCACAACAAAATTAAAAACAAAATCCGGTGCTGCGTAAAATTTTATTATTGTGAAAATATTTTCAAAACTTGATTCCATCTTGAATCAAATTTATTAAACTAGACTGAAGAATCGGCAAAATCTTTTTCCTCATTGCTCGAATTGTCTAACAAAAGAAAACGATTCTCGCTTCTACAGTATTGAATGATAATCAAATTTAGATTGAAAAAAAAGAAAAAGAAAAGTAGTTGAAAAGAACGACGAACTTTACAACTGCAAGGAATTTACAACAATCAAGCATACCATAAACTGATTAAGAAACCCTCAAAAATGAGTGCAGCAACTTGGAATCAAGAGACTAAAACAAAGTTAAACGAAAAAGTTACAGCAAATATAAACGATCTAGGATCACTAATAAGACATGTCATAAGAGCTTCAAAAAGTACTGAGGTAAGTTAAAAAAAAAAGAAGACAACGATTCGCCCCCTAGTCAAGTCAACACGTCCTTGTCCGCTCGTACCGTTTTCAGCTCTTTCCCTTTTTTGGCTGAGTCTTCACTAATGTTCTTTTATTTAAAAAAATGTAATAATAATTTGAAAATCGACAAAGCCTATGAACGGGGAAGTCGGTTAAACAAAAAATGTTTTATTTTCCCGTTAAGTTTCATGCACCCTTTCGTTTTCACTCGGAACAATTGGTGATTATTTTTAATTCGAAAAGTTGAGATTGTCTGTTATCAGAATACCTTGCCTATTATCATTGAGTTACTTTGAAAATGGAGTTGCTCAACTAGAACTGACACTGAAAATTTCATTGATAGATATTGAATTTTTTAAATGTTTTTTTTATTTGCTTTCCTTTTAGATATACATGTGTAGTCTATAGCCGGGCAAGCAAAAGCCTGGGACTTCCCCGTTTAAAAAAAGGCAAAGCCTCGGAGCTAGCTCTATTGAGGTTTACCGTAAAATAATATAAAATAATCGTTCATTTACATTTTCAGTTTTAAAACTGTCATTCGGTATTTTTTACACTGCTTCCGTTTATTCTGGTTCCCTGTCCCATTATGGTTCCTAAAAAAGTATTCGCATCTGTTTTCAATCAGAATTCCTCGACCTTTATTGTTATCTTGAAATTTAAAAAGTTGCTATGTGTCAATTTCAGTACTTCCGGTCAATATTTCAAAACCATCATTATCTAGCAGGTACTTGCTTTACCATAAAGCTCGCCAGTTCTTTGAGCTCGCTTTAAACTATCAGAAAGTTTATCTTGTATCAATTAATATGCCTAGTGAGTGGTTAACTAGAAATTTCCTAAAATTGACGCATGTACCTCAACAGTGTACATGACTATGACTGAGATCAAAGGTGCTAGTTGCATTGATTTGACCTAAAATATGTTTTAATCTTTTAATTCATGTAATATAATATCAATATATTAAAACAATTTAAAATATAATTTTTTTTTTGATCTTTGTAAAATTGTTATATTGTTATAGACAAGGTATGCAACAATCGGGTACGAAAATTATGGGAATGTCCAGTCTCGGTGTCAAAATTTTCCAACATGTATTGTTAGATTTTTGCATTGAATCAATGCAACATATATTTTTCTATCAAAATTTACTATGAACAGATCCTTATTTACATACAAATTACCGCAGTAAAGCCCAAGAGTAAGAAATTACCCTGCTCCGAAAGATGAGACCGTCATGACATGTCATTTGTAGCCTGGTATTTACGCTTGAAATACATCAACAAAGAGATCAAATGAGTCAAACACATATGCAAACAATGGGATTTTACATACTTTTTAATGGTTTTATGCTCCATAACTCGCACTTAGTCCTATGGGCCTGTGTTTAAAGAAATATTCTACATGTAGATGATATTTTTAGAAGGTTATTCCTACTGGAAGTATTCTCCAGCTACTGTTTCACATATATTGACATAGAGCAGAACGGGGAATCACGCACATGTTGCGGGAGAATACGTCCGATTTAGGAATTACCTTCTACATGTAGAATCTTTCTTAAAATGCGACTAGCACCTTTGACTGAGATAAATAATTTGACTTCCATGCTTTATACATCTTGGTAACTGTAAAGTTTCATAGTTTTGACTTTCAAAATTGCATCGTTATTTGCCCCACAGTATTAAAACCCACACAACAGAGATATTCTGTCTGTTTTTGTTCTGTTAGACATAAATGTACAGTGAGAAACACAAGTTTTTTGATTAATCATAATTGGATTATCACACCTTTTTGTGTTTATCCATACAACAATTCTGTCTCATTGGATTATCACACATTTCCTACACTTTATCCATAATCATTTTAAAGTAAGTTCTTTAAGATATTTAGGAGCTCACATGTATACATTTTTCTAAAATACAAATAGGAAAATGACATATGAGGGAGATGAACATACTGATGAATGCAAAGAGGAACACACATTTACACAATTAAAGCTATGCATAAATTATTTACAATTTTTGATGGTTGATTATGAATTTGCTATTAGTGGAAGGGCTTGTTCATTGTTACTGTACTAAATCATTACTTGGAAGTTTGGGAAGATTTTTTTTGCACTTCATTTATTATGTTTATTTTTTAATATATCTAAAATCCTGATGTCAATGTTTAACTGAAAGTGGTCAATGCATGTAACATTATTCCTGTTTCTTGAGTGTTACACTTCTTGTATTGTTTATTTTTTGGTTTCAGTTGTTGTCACAGGCTGCCAAGAATTTTGCATCACAGGAGTCGGCAATACAGAGTTCTACAGAGGTATATATAATATACATATATACATGTACATACATTATTAATTAACAATTTTTAAGTTCATTCTAAGTTTCACTTTAAGTTTCGAACCACTTGCCCAAGTTGCCCCTCACCGCTGTGTGTTTGATTTCTGATAGGGACTTTCGATTCTTTTATATGAGGAAGCTATCTTGTTATCTGACAGAAGGTTTGTTGCTCTGTGCAAGTGCCTGCTTGTGTGTGAGATAAATGGACAACACCTGATTTGTTTTCCGCCAGTTAACCTGGAAAGTTACCATGCGACCTTAATAGCCCAACAAAAAAAAAACAACAGATTCTTAACATCTTAGTAAAGTTTATTCAGCTTTGATTTTCTTGAAATATTTTGGCTCAACTGGAGACATGCAGTCAGGTCAGACTGTATAAAAGTGCAGGCTGATCTGGCTCTATAATGTTGGCAAATACAAGTGATTTCAGCAGGTTATGAGTTAAGGGATTTTTTTGTTAGTATTTTAACATGACTGATCATTGTTTCCTGATTTTCGCTTGTTGATATACATCGTATGGTTATTATAGATAAAATGCTTATATTTAAGTAACAATAATTAATTAAAGAATTATTTTCTTGTTTCAGTCTTTAAGAAAAATGAATCTTATCCGATCTCAGTTTGAATATCAGTAAGTATTTTTTTTTTATTTAATGAATATTATAAATGTTCTTATAATACAGCATTTAAACATATAGTCGTTAGTGCCTAAACATGGGTTAGGTTGTCTTATCATGATTTCCTAGAGCAAAAAGTGCATTAATCTGTTGTCAATTTCCCATTCAAACAACTCTGGTACTACTGGACAAAATTGAATGAAACTTGCTTGTAATTATTTTGTACAGAGAGTTTTAATAAAGTTGTTCCAATTTGTGTGTTTTATAATATATCATGATGACCAGAGCTAACAATTTACTTTAAGAATTAACTCTTGAAAATTTCTTCCCACAAACTACAAGGCCCAGAAATTAGATATTTTGAATGCAGCATTGCCTGTATTTGACATCCGCCAAGTTTTGTTTTGTTATAAACACTTGTGAAATAGATACATTATAGCTATATTTTTCTTTCTTTTCAGACAATCAGCTATAGAAAGAAGGTAAGATTGCAGGTTTTTTTTCCAGGATTTTGGGAACATGACCCATACACATGGAATTGGAAATTTCAGCCATGTTTTGTTAAAATTTGGGAAAAAATGCATGACTTTGATTTTGCAGTGATTAAATGAATGCAAAGAATCACTGTCCAGGATGGCATCTTTAAACATTTAAACACCATAACAGTGAAGAAGCCCTTATTTTCAAAGATTTTAGAATTTGTTATTCATTATTCGCTCGACTATTCGATAAGAATAAGTAGAGCTATTGCAGTCACCCGAGCGTCGGCGTCCGCGTCGGCGTCGGCGTAACCACTTATGTTAAAGTTTTTGTAATAGTTCAAATATTTTCAAAGTCCATAGACATATGGCTTTGAAACTTTGCACACTTGTTCACCATCATGACCCCAACCTGTAGACAGGAGGAGGTAACTCTATCAAGCATTTTGACAGAATTATGCCCCTTTTTCGACTTAGAATTTACGTTAAAGTTTTTGTAATAGTTCAAATATTTTTCAAAGTCCATTGACATATATGGCTTTGAAACTTTGCACACTTGTTCACCATCATGACCCCAACCTGTAGACAGGAGGAGGTAACTCTATCAAGCATTTTGACAGAATTATGCCCCTTTTTCGACTTAGAATTTACGTTAAAGTTTTTGTAATAGTTCAAATATTTTCAAAGTCCATTGACATATGGCTTTGAAACTTTGCACACTTGTTCACCATCATGACCCCAACCTGTAAACAGGAGGAGGTAACTGTATCAAGCATTTTTTTTACTATCAAGCACTAAGAATAGTCGAGCGTTGCTGTCCTACTGACAGCTCTTGTTTTTAAATTGTAACTTGCCATTGGGAATTTTTTCCTGTGAATTGGGAAAATAATATTCTATTTTCATTTGGGAATATGACCGAATATCGGCTATAAAATAAGCCAAAAAGAATCCCTGTGATTGGGATATATTTTCCAAATTGATAAGAAAACCATCAATAAATTTGAGATTGTATTGATTTTGAATGCACCCAAAATATTTTCACACATATGTTTTGACCTGGTCATCTGCCCAACTACCAAATATACATACATACAATGTTAGGGGCTATCTAACTGTTAATTTAACAAAAGTGAACAACAGAGTTCATTCTTTAACAATTGAATAAGTGGCCAATATGCCTTTATTAAACAAAAGAAAGAAATTTCCCCTCATTCCATTTAGATTATCTGTCTGTCTGCTTGCAATTTTTAGCTCGACTATTCGATAAGAATAAGTAGAGCTATTGCAGTCACCCGAGCGTCGGCGTCGGCGTAACCACTTATGTTAAAGTTTTTGTAATAGTTCAAATATTTTCAAAGTCCATAGACATATGGCTTTGAAACTTTGCACACTTGTTCACCATCATGACCCCAACCTGTAGACAGGAGGAGGTAACTCTATCAAGCATTTTGACAGAATTATGCCCCTTTTTCGACTTAGAATTTACGTTAAAGTTTTTGTAATAGTTTAAATATTTTCAAAGTCCATTGACATATGGCTTTGAAACTTTGCACACTTGTTCACCATCATGACCCCAACCTGTAGACAAGAGGAGGAAACTCTATCAAGCATTTTGACAGAATTATGCCCCTTTTTCGACTTAGAATTTACGTTAAAGTTTTTGTAATAGTTCAAATATTAAAGTCCATTGACATATGGCTTTGAAACTTTGCACACTTGTTCAACATCATGACCCCAACCTGTAAACAGGAGGAGGTAACTCTATCAAGCATTTTGACAGAATTATGCCCCTTTTTCGACTTAGAATTTACGTTAAAGTTTTTGTAATAGTTCAAATATTTTCAAAGTCCATTGACATATGGCTTTGAAACTTTGCACACTTGTTCACCATCATGACCCCAACCTGTAAACAGGAGGAGGTAGCTGTATCAAGCATTTTTTTTACTATCAAGCACTAAGAATAGTCGAGCGTTGCTGTCCTACCGACAGCTCTTGTTGTGTTTGCTCTGTATCTCTTATATATTCAGAATAAAAGGTGGTTCTAGCTCATACGCATACTTAGGCAAATTTAAAACAACAAGAAATATATGTAACAATTTTAATATATTGTGTGCATTAAAAACACAGGTATTCAACATACTTATTTATTTTTGTTACGGGAGGGCTTTTGTCCGCCTTGTTAATTTCACGGGAGGGCTTTTGTCCGCCCAGTCATTTTCATGGGAGGGCTTTTGTCCGCCCTGTTATTTTCAAGGGAGGGCTTTTGTCCGCCTTGTCATTTTTTGACGGGAGGGCTTTTGTCCGAGAGGGCTTTTGTCCGTTTCCAAATTGAAACTACTTGGCAGAAACATTAAGTTACCATAATGAGATGATATTCAGAGTGCAGGTTTGGGCTTTCACACATTCATTATATATGAATTTCAAAATATTGTGATCAGAATTCATGTTTTGGACAGATGGAGGGAAAAAGAGAATATTTGAAATAAATATCAATAGTGTGGGACAAAGATTTAAGGTTGCTGAGATCAAATTTGGCCTCCATCCTATCTTTTTTGTTGTTGTACAAATCATTGTAGTATTTTGGATTTTTCATATAGACATATAGGCAGAATTAAACTGTTGAACAGAATTTCTTTAAACTTGGCATGTTGTTAGAATATGATGACAGAAATATTAGAAGCGGAACAAATTTGGGTGTCATCCATCACACTTTTGAGTTATTTGCCCTTGAATCAGAATTATTAACTTATTTAATTTCATTTCAAGGGCGGATAACTAATACATATGGCTGCAAAGTATTTTTTATACTTCTTGATTCTGTTTTTCTCTTTGTTGTTGATAACAAAACATAATAACATACAATTCCATGAAATTTTGCACACTGACTCATACTGAAGTAAGCTACATGACAATAAAAATTATCTGCCCTCGAATTAAGCAAAAAAAATCAGGGTCAGATAACTAAAAAATGAGTAAGGTGATACCTATTTTGTTCTGCTCTTAATGTTTCTGTTACTATATTCTAACAACATGCTATGTTTAAAGAAATTCTGTTCAACAGTTTTAATTTTGTCCTAATGTCCATATGAAAACCCTTGAAAACGTCTTTGTGCTGAATTTCAATCCAAAGGGAAGTAACAAAAAAAAAAAATATTTGTAAACATAGCAATTTGATAAATTTTTTTGTCTGCTTTTGAAGTACCTACATATTATTTAATTTTACCAATGAAATATGGTGCAATATCAGTCAAATAAAAAACTAATGCAAAAAATTTTTATTTGCCTGAGTGTCACTTTTGCCTTTACCAATCTGTCCAGTTCAAACCAAGATAAGCTGCCACATCTGTGCTGTCTGATCATTGTTTGCTCCGTTTCCAGTTCAAATAGAAATTATTTTTTTTACAAATCCCTAAAAATGATGAATGGTTATGTCTAGATTGAAAGATGGGCAAGTCCATTTTAGACAATTAGTGTAGTAAGGGTTAACACAGCCAAACATATTATTTCTTCATTTTCAGTATGTCAAGCATAGATGAAATTCAAGACCAGTTGAAAACCATTCAGCGGTGACTTAAGCTGCCTGTGACCATATAATAGGGTATTGTGCAATAGACAAATAACTCCTTACCATATATGTAACACATTCTTCTCAACAACTAGATAACGTGTATACGATATATGACATATAATATGTTGAAAAATCAAGACTACAAAATTGCAGATAGTACAATCAATGTTATCAATTAGTTCACACAAGTCAGAAAAATATGTTGTGCATCATTGATACCTGACAGATAGTGACTAATATATATATAATTATGCCTTGTAGCTCTTTGTACTTCTACTATGTTCAATAATTTAAACAAAATTATATATATATGGTACTCATATAGTGTTTATATACATGTTAGCATATGAAGTAGTTTGTACACCATTGTCTTTTAAAAATGATGACCAGGATGTATTGGCATATCCATTTTAGCTCAGCTGAGTCTAAAGTACTCAGAAATGAGCCTTTTGTGATCGCATGATTTCTGTTGTGTACCTTAGTGTTGTGTAGCATGCATAAGTTTGTCTGTGAACAAATCAGTTTATGTAATGCCAGCTAATAATTTCAACTTGTCAAGGTCTCTACCATTTTTGTCTCACAGTCTGTGGTAAGACCTTGTTTAATTGTCAAAAAACTTGTACCGGTATGTAGATCGTCAATCTTGTCTAACAAATTTAGTATTACACGTTCTAACAGTTGCTGTATTTAAAATTACCTCTCTTCAAATCTGCCCCTCTAAATATGCTACTCATGTTGGTAGTCTTTCAGTTTTTTAAGACTTCACCTTAATGTCTTCAAATACTTTAAATTCTGCCCATGATTTTAATACCAAAGAATAACAGAAAGAATTACCAGTCAGAAGCATAATTTATTCTTAAAAAGCAAAAAAATGAAATTGTAAAATTTACAATAAAATATTACAAAAAGTTACAGTACATGTACCAAAGAACACATTCCTAAATAAAGTAATACTCTTGCCTGGTCCTTGTGTTGATAAATAATAAAATATTAAATGCTTTTATATTTCCCAACAAATGTCCAAAATACTCATAGTTATTATAAATGTAATTATTATAATGATCCCACAAATTGTTAATAGTCAATTGATTATTTATAACGCTTCCATGACATTTCGTCGAAAGACATTTTGTCAGGTGTGACAAATGGTCGAATCCTACATTTGATAAAATTGGACAACTTGTATAATTTGACCATTGGTCAAATTTATTTTATGTCGAAAAGTGACAGAAATTTGTAAATTTTGTCGAAAAATAAATGAAAGAAAAAAAGTAGACAGGTAAAATTAATGACATTGTTTATGTTAATAGCTGTTCTTGATTATGAAAAAGAACTATTTTGTGAGTTAATCAGGTTATCAATGATGTGTATGTCATAACATGAGTAAGTTCACGAGTAAATGCACTGCTTTCTTGAATTTTCAGTTTTGTTGTTTGGTTTATGTTTTCCTCTGTAATCAACACTAGTAAAACAATCATTTTGTTTTTGTTTATTGCTTAATGCATATTTAATGAGAGCTGGTTTCCTACACACTAGTTTCTCATTAATTGTTTTTTACAAACACAAACAGGCTCTTTTCCATTCCTGTTGTGCTTTTATAGTGCTGACTTATAGACTCTTTGCCTGTTTCACTTCCTGATACATTGCAAATTTTCTTTGTACATTTAAAGCTGCATGCCTCAAGATGAGCCAAAATGTTTTAAGAAAACTAACTTAAGAAAAATATACTGAGATTTTTAGGAAAGAAAAAACATTCAAGTACATATTATATTGGTTTAATGACAGATTTTTCAGTATTTGATAAAAAGATTTGTACTGCTTGACTTACACAGTAAGGGCTATATTTACATATTCTGACCTACTTTTGGTAATTTTCATAGATTTTTAGTGCCGTGGCAATGTTAAAATTACTTCCTTTGTTTGCTTTAAGGTATTTTACTTTTAATACATTTTCAAAATTTTCAGGATAATTAGCATAAACCTGGAGGCATGCTGCTTTGAACCTCAACTTTCTTCAATTTGTTTAGCTTCCGGAACAATTTTTAATGAATTTCAACTTAAGGAAGTATGTATTTTTTTCTAACATGATGAATAAAAATCTTGACCTTTGGAGGTTTCCCTGAGGGAACTAAGCTATAATCAGGCATCATTCCTTCTTTATTCAGGTTGTTTGATAAAATATTCTCTTAGATAAGTTGAGTTATTGATACAGATGTAGTTTTGACATCCACTTCCTTTGCGGGGATGATAGCTTCACTGTCATGGGGCTATTCACTAAATGTCTGCAAGGACTGGCATCAGTACCAGAATGTTTGAACCTGTTGCAGTTCATACCATCAATAGCATGGCAGTACTGGCCAGTTGGATGAAATGCTTCAATTAAAGCAGCACGTAAATAAGTGACTTGTTCATATGAAGGAGGCTGTTGTTTCATAACTTTCTGACCATAATCATCCACAGTTCTTCTTATCGATCCTTTCATACCTATTTTTAAGTCCTGGAAAACTGTAGCCTTAACTTTACTCCCCTTTGGGTCTGACCATTGACAAAGTGTGTCGGTACATGAAGGACCTTCTAATGCACCTGTGGCTTGTAATTCACAAATTTTAAACAGTACTGCCCCAATATGGTCTGATCTCTCACTCTTCCCAACAGTACAAGTACAAAATCCGCCATATGGTTCCCCCAAACACTTGTCAATAACAACATACACCAGTTTAATTTCATCTTGATTTGTTGATTTGGATGGATTACACTGAGCTTTAATGATTGTTAAGTTGTCATACATCAGCATTTATCAAGTACTTTTTCACTATAGACTCTTTAATGACTGGTAAGTATGAAATGTCTTTCTTCCAGCTGTTTAGCTGACACATGTATGCTGGAGTAATGTTATGTAACTCCTCTCTTTGAGTAGAACTTTTTACACCATTTACTGACTGCAAATGTCCTGTTGTTGAAATTCCCAAAACATGATACAGGAGTATAATGCACGCCTTCTTAGGGAGCTTAACATCCACATTGTTTTCTGTACATAGTTTCTTAAGTTGTTCAATTTTCAAGTTTGCAACACTGTTTAGTCTCTGAGGTTTTCTTTACCAACTAAGGATTTTATACCCTGAAAAATAAAGAATAAATAAATTGTAACCTTTATTTGATAAGATAGTATGTGATTTTAACATTAATCCTTTAAATATGTAAAATGCTCATCTTTAAGTAAAATATTTCTATTGCAGAAATCTGTTAAAATTTAGAATAATCTTACTTTGTATGTCTTGTTTGGAATAAGAAAATGCACAGAGTGTTTGGGAAACTCCATTCCCTACTACAGGTCCAGTAAAGTGTGTCATCTCTTTTTAATGGCTCCTTGTATTAACACTGTATTTACGCTAACAAGGGGGTCATTACAACAGAAAAAAATGGATATGTAATGTTCATGTACTTCTTTCATTTATATATAACATATTTTCAGTTGTCATGTCCTGGAATGCTGTAGAAATATACTTACAGGTTTGTTTATAATCCCATGCTTTGTCATGACTCCAGGGCCGCTATGACCAGCAAATTCATCTAAACGAAAAAATGCAACATATTGTTAAGTAATTAATCAGTGTTTGCACTGTTTTTAATGTTACACCATGAAACACTTTACAGCATGTTCGAGTACAAAATTAGATAGCTTACTAAAGACTTTAATAGGTCTACATGAAAATGTAGATGAATTTTTCCAAAGGGCCCTAATACAAACAATTATTAAAGAGAATTGCTAAATGTTGTCTGTGCCAAAAAATTTAAGGTGTAAATCTTTTTCATATATAACCTTTACGCGAACATCTGCCCCAGATTGTGGCAAATATTGACTTTGGAGCTTAGTTTTAGCAACATCTGTAGACGTCTACTGGTCAATGTTCCATGATGGATTTCTACGTCTTTTATGTCTTTTCCGGTAATTTCTTTTTCATAAAGATCCAAAAACTGATCCATTCTTTCCATTTTTAGCTCGACTATACGAAGTATATGGAGAGCTGTTCTACTCGCCCCGGCGGTGGCGTCCGCGTCCAGATTTCAGATTAAAGTTTTGGTGCAGTAAAGTATTTTTCACTATAACTTTCTCATTTCTTAAGGTATCAACTTCAAACTTCAAATATATGTTCCTTATCCTCAACCACATCTGACAAGGTTCATAACTCTAGCGCCAATATTTTCAGATGTATCTCCCCTTGAACTTAGAATTTTCGTTAAAAAATACTATTGTTTACGGTTACTTCTTTATTTCTTAAGGGATCAACTTCATACTTCAAATATATGTATCTTATCATCATCCACATCTTATGTGACAAGGTTCATAACTCTAGCACCAATATTTTCAGATTAATCTCCCCATAAACTTTAACTAGAAACATGTCATTTTTTACTACGACTTTTTTAGTTTTAAAGGTATCTACCTCACACTTCAAATACTTATTCCTTATCATCAATTACATTTTATGTGACAATGTTCATAACTCTTGAAGCAATATTAACAGATTTATCTCTCTTTGAACTTAGGATTTTCTTTACGAAATATTATAACTTCTTTTCTTTTTAAGGTATCTACTTCAAACTTCAAATATATATTTCTTATCATTACACACATGTTGTGTGACAAGGTTCATAACTCTAGCGAGACTCTTTCTAGAATTATTCCCCTTGATCTTGGAATTTATGTTAACAATGTTATTTTTTACTAAAAATTAAAACATAATTATACATAATTGATTTTTCTTTCATAGTTTTGTCTTCCTTACTGCGTCCAGTATTTTATTAGTCGAGCTTCGCTGTCTCCTGTGACAGCTCTTGTTGGCTTTGTGTTGATCCTGGATTTCCGTTTTAAAAATTATTGTACTGTTCATTAAACATATCTTTGACTTCACTGCCACCATTTTTTTACCGTTTTTATTTCATTTTTTACCTTTTGCCATTTTTTTAATGTCATTGCTATTCTCATTATTTACCTCTTTCTGTTCTGCAAAGCTATCTACTGTAGCGAAGCCTTATTACCAAAGGTGTTGTCAAAAGACAATTAGAAAGGTTACCTATGGACTTGGATGCAATCTATTGTAAAGCATTAGCGCATCATGAAACTGCCTATTCGATCAATATTATCAATCAAGTTGATGAGAAAATTGCTTTTTTACAGATTATTTATGTCCTACAGATATTTTTATGAAGTTCATCCGACAGCAAAAGGTAGTCAATGTTTCTAAATTGAATTAAATGGGATTAAATGAATGTTCATGTAATCCATCAATACCAAACCCAAGACGAACTCCACTTCAAACAGAAGCTATAAAGTTGTGGAAATGAGAACAAAGACAAAACTCTGTATTCAATATAGCAGAACCCCAATAGAAGTATTCAGCATCATTATTATAAGGGATTTCAGTTCTCTCTTTTATTATTGGTGAAAATAAGAACAATGAATAATTGTGTAATAGTTTAATTATGTGTCATTGCTGGTATATATGTTCAAGTGCTCTCACTAAGATCTCATTAACATTATAATTAGATCCGATTAACATTGTCATCTTCAGACATTTTTATACAAGAGCAGCACATTTTTTGTTAGCTCTTCCTCGTCAGCGTCATCATTTTGGAATTAAATTAAAGTTATTGAAAGAGCTCCTTGCAAATTGTTAATCTGTGTTTAATTACTCTGATGACTCTTTCCACGTGTATTTGCACATTTCTGATTTTTCTCTACATGTTGGGCAGGCAACTGATTTTCCCCTCTGTAAATGTGTATATGATCAACTATACGCTACAAGCTGTATTTGTTTTCATATAAGCTAAAGAATAATTTTGTTGTACTAACCAATAATTGCTTCAACAATTTGTTGGTTGAGTGGATTGTACATGGACACCTCAGATTCAGTAAGACTGATCTGCTGGAGCTGTTCTTTTGTGAAAAGACGGTCAGCAAATATCTTGCTTATCTTTTTCTGTCTTTTGGAGGCTGTGGACTGGCCGTAGCCTTATTTAACTATGGTACATGTACCAAAAATTCAAATAAGTTTAATCATTGTTTTACAATGAAATACATGCCAATCACAAATATATCCAAGTTTGTCTGTTGCATACAAATGCTACAATTTTTGCTTGCCAACAAATTTTTGCACGGAATGTACTTCTTCTGTTATGTCCTCATTTTTGACACCAAACTTATCCTTCAGTATCCCCAACATGGCATTGTCCAATCGCACATCAAACTGACATTTATTTGGTGTCTTTGAATTCAAGGCTTTGCCCGACACACTATGGCTAAGAATGTACTTCTTACTGTAAACATTTTATCATACAGTTTGTCAACGTGCGAAATAGAGTGCTGGTAAATATGTTGAAGTGCTCTCACAAAGATGCAATTATCATTATAATTAG